AGAGGAGGAAGCAGGCTCCCTGCCGAGAAGAGAGCCCGACGTGAGGCTCGATCCCAGGACTCTGGGATCATGACCCGAGCCCAAGGCAGAGGATTTAACCCACTGAGCCACCCAGGCACCCCTCGCTTCCCGAATCTTAAAATCAGAATCAGTAATGAGCCCTACTTTGTGGGTTGCAGTCAGGGTAAAACACGATCGTGTATTTAAAGCATTTGCACACAGAATGCCTGGGTGGCTCTGTTGGTTCTGAGCCATCTGCCTTTGGCTCAGATCATGATCTCAGGGTCCTGGGATCGAGCCCTGTGTTGGGCTCCCTGCTCTTCTCCCCCTGCCTGCCGCTCCCCCTGCTTGTGCTCTCTCTCCGGCAAATAAATAAAGTCTTTTTTTTAAAAAACATTTTATTTATTTATTTGAGAGAAGAGAGAGACAGTGAGAGAGAGCATGAGCGAGGAGAAGGTCAGAGGGAGAAGCAGACTCCCCGTGGAGCTGGGAGCCTGATGCGGGACTCGATCCCGGGACTCCAGGATCATGACCCGAGCTGAAGGCAGTCACTTAACCAACTGAGCCACCCAGGCGCCCAATAAAGTCTTTAAAATAAAATAAAGCATTTATGCATGGGGTCTGTAATCCTGGAAGCTCTCTATAACTATGTGTCAATATCACCTTAGCCTTTTTTTTTTTTAATTGAGGAAAAATTGACATACAACATTATATTGGTTTCTGGTACAACATAAAGTTTTGATATTTGTGTGTAATGCAAAATGATCACTGAAATGAATCTAGTTTGCTCTGTCATTGTACATAGTTACAGTATTTTTTTTCTTGTGCTGAGACGTTTAAGATTTACTCTCTTTGCAACTTTGAAATGTGCAATACAGTATTATTAGCTATAGTCACCATGGTGTACATTACATGCCCAGGACTTATTTATTTTATAACTGGAGGTTTGTACCTTTGGACTCCCTTTGCCCATTTTGCCCACCCCCCACCCTCTGCCTCTAGCAACCAGCAATCTGTTCTCTGTATCTATGAGCTTTTTCTTATGATTCCATATATAAGAGAGATCATAGGGCATTTACCCTTTTCTGTCTGACTTATTTCCCTTAGCATAATACTCTCATAGTCCATCTATGTTGTCACTAATGATGAGATTGCATTCTTTTTTATGGTTCAATAATTTCATTCTTTTTTATAATTCAATAATTTCCATATATATGTATATATATACCTTTTTTTATACGTTCATCTGCCTATGGACACTTAGGTTTTTTCCATATCTTAGCTATTGTGAATAATGCTGCAAGGATGGAGTGCCTGAGTGGTTCAGTGTGTTAAGCCTCTGCCTTCAGCTCAGGTCATGATCTCAGAGTCCTGGGATCGAGCCCCACATCAGGCTCTCTGCTCAGCAGGGAGCCTGCTACCCACCCGGAATCTGCCTGCCTCTCTGCCTGCTTGTGATCTCTCTCTCTGTCAAATAAATAAAATCTTAAAGAAAAATAATGTTGCAAGGAACATGGGCATGCAGATATCTTTCCAAGTTAGTGTTTTCGTTTTCTTCAGATAAACACCCAAAAGTGGGATTGCTGGATGGTATGGTATTTCTTTTTTTTAATTTTTTGAGAAACCTCCATATTGTTTCACATAGCAGCTGCACAAATTTCCATTCCCACCAACAGTGCAAGAGTGTTCTCTTTTCTCCACATCCTTGCCACCACCTTTTATCTCTTGTCTTCTGGATAATAGCCATTCTAACAGATGTGAGGTGGTATTTCATCCTGGTACGGATTTACAGTTCCCTGATGATTAGTGAGGTTGAGCATTTTTCATGTACCTGTTTGTCACCCATACGTTTTATTTAGAAAAATGTCTATTCAGATTCTCTGTCCATTTTTAATCAAACTATTTTGCTATTAACTTCTATGATTTCTTTATATATTTTGGATATTAACCCCTTGTTAGGTATATAATGTGCAAATATTTTCTCCCTTTCAGTGCGTTGCTTTTTCTTTTTACTAATGGTTTCCATTGCTGTGCAGAAGCTTTTTAGTTTGACATAGTCGCACTTGTTCTTTTTTGTCTTTGCCTTTGGTGTCAAATCCAAAAAATCATTACCAAGGTCAAGGTCAAGGAGCTTAATGCCTATGTATTCTTCTAGGAGTTTCATGGTTTCAGGTCACACGTTCAAGTCTTTAATCTATTTTAAGTTAAATTTTTTAAAAGATTTATTTATTTTAAAGAGAGAGAGTGCTTGCCTGCAGGTGCATGTACACGTGAGTGAGGGGAGGAGCACAAGGAGAGAATTCAAGCAGACTCCCCTCTGAGCAGGGACCCTGACGCAGGGCTGAATCCCACAGCCCATAAGATCATGACCTGCACAGACACCAAGAGTCGAACACCTAACCAACTGACCCACCCAGGTGCCCCTTTTTAAAGTTAATTTTTGTGTACAGAAGGAAGGAGGGAGGGAAAAAAGTTAATTTTCGTGTATAATGTAAGACAGTGGCCCAGTTTCATTCTTTTGCATGTGGCTGCCCAGTTTTCCCAACATCATCTATTTGAAGAGGTTGTCCCTTCCCCAGTATATATCTTGGTTCCCTTGTCATAAATTAATTGACCGTATTTGCATGGGCTTATTTCTGGGCTCTCTGTTCAATTCCATTGATCTATGTGTCTGTTTTTATGCCAGCACCATACTGTTTTGATTACTATAGCTTTGGGATACAGTTTGAAATCAGGAGCATGACAACTTTAGCTTTGTTCTTCTTTTCCAAGATTGCTTTGGCTACTTGGGGTCTTTTGTGGTCCTGTACACAAAATTATTTTATTTCTGTTGAATTATTTGTTCTATTCTACAAAAAATGTTACTGGAATTTTTGTTTGTTCTATTTCTACAAAACATTTGTAGAAATTTGTAGAAATTTCTACAAAAACATTTGCTCTATTTCTATAGAAAATGCTATTGCAATTTTGATAGACATCACATTGAATCTGTAGGTTTCTTTGGGTAGTATAGACATTTTAATAATATTTGTTCCTCCAAGCCATTAGCATGGAATGTATCTTTCCATTTCTTTTGGTCTTCCTCAATGTCTTTCATCAATATCTTATGGTGTTCAGTGTACAGGTGTCTCACCTTCTTGGTTAAATTAATTCCTGTATATCATACTCTTTTTTTTAAAGATTTTATTTACCTATTTGGCAGAGAGAGAGAGAGAGAGAGAGAGTGAGCAAGAGCACACAAGCAGGTGGAGCAGTAGCAGAGGGAGAGGGAGAAGCAGGCTCCCCACTGAGCAGGGAGCCCGACACGGGGCTCAATCCTAGGACCCCGGGATTACAACATGAGCCCAAGGCAGACGCTTAACCGGCTAAGCCAGGCAGGTGCCCTACATTTCCTATTTTTAACTCAAAGTGGAAGCAACACATTTTAGAACCTCTTGCTCAGCAAGGATCATAGCCAAAATACTAAAGGTAGAAATGTTCTATAGGGTTACACCCAATTATACTAAAAAGCAAAGAAATGATGTGTGAAATGGTGATCGGCCGTGAGGCAGAGTTCAAAATCCCCAAAGCTCTTATCCCTCTAAGTTTAATTTTCTGAAAACAGAGGATTTTAAAATATTGTGTATATACACTTAGTGGGGTGAGGCGGGGAGCTGGGAACAGACGGCTACAGAAACTCTCTGTACTTTCTGCTCAATTTTGTCGTGAATCTAAAACTCTAGAAAAATAATGCATATTGATTTTTAAAAATATTTTATTTATTTATTTGATAGAGATTACAAGTTGTCAGAGAGGCAGGCAGGGAAAGAGGAAGAAGCAGGCTCCTCGGGGAGCAGAGGGCCTGATGCGGGGCTTGATCCCAGGACCCTGAGATCATGACCTGAGCCCAAGGCAGAGGCTTTAACCCACTGAGCCACCCAGGTGCCCCAATGCGTATTGATTTTTAAAAAATCACATGCTTCAGGGGTACCTGGGAGGTGTAGTCAGTTGGGCGTCCGACTCTTGGTTTCAGCTTGGGCTGAGACCTCAGGGTCATGAGATTGGGCCCCACTTTGGGCTCTGTGCTTAGTACAGAGTTTGCTTGAGATTCTCTCTCTCTCTCTGCCTCTGCCCCTTCCACTTGTGCGCGCTTTCTCTCTCTCTCTGAAATAAATAAATAAATATTTTAAAAAAATAAAGATTGCATACTTCAAAATAAATTGCTTACTTGAGCACAGAAGCCTATCAAAGTCTGACACCAACAAACGAAAACCCCAGTTTATTGTAACATACCGCTGGCAATCCAAACTGGGTTCAAGTTTTCAAACATCTTATGAAATTGTATGCTATTCTCTTCTCCTTTCTCCTAACTACAGCTTAGCTGCAAAGTTCTGGTGTAGAAAAGCAATCCGGGTCTCTACAGAGACGATGGCAGGGAAGCCTCAAATGCGACCCGTCTGTCCTCGTAAAATGTCTTCTTGGTGTTTCGGAAGAAATCATGTACCTCCTACTGTTTCTTAAGTTATATGCATGTAATACTTCACAGTTGTTCTTAACGTTTCTAGAAAACCATGCTGTTTAGCACGGGATGTTATTATTGCTTCTGTTGTTTTGTTCATGTTATAAGCCAGCCACCCAACAGTGAGTTAATTCTCACATGCTAAGTGCTCGGGATGCCAGCACCCAGCCTTCCAGAGGGAAGCCGTCTGCATCGCCGTAATTCACACATGGCAGTCGGCTTGCCGAAACTTATCCTTTACATTTAGGAACCTTTGTGGGTTCCTGTCTTCCCCAGGGGATTTTTATTAGTTGTTTATGCAAACAGCAGATTGCATAAGAGCCTTGCTGGCTTCTTCTTTTTTTTTTTTTCTTCTAAGGGATTTCGTAGTTTCCTTGTAAGCAGCCAGTCACCAATTTCATCACCCCGACGTGACATAAAGGCGGGAGCTGAACCTCGGCGTTCACCACTCAGACACATACCTCTTTCCTGGAGCACTCGCTAGGACCGACTCGTTCCACTCATGAACCTGCCCCAGCAGCAGGATCATTTTCTGGAAATAAACAAGAAGAACTGCTGTGTGTTCCGGGATGACTTCATCGCCAACGTGCTGCCACCGGTGCTGGGGCTGGAGTTTGTGTTCGGACTCCTGGGCAATGGCCTTGCGCTGTGGATTTTCTGCTTTCACCTCAAGTCCTGGAAATCCAGCCGGATTTTCCTGTTCAACTTGGCCGTGGCTGACTTTCTCTTGATCATCTGTCTGCCATTCCTGACGGACAACTACGTGCGGAAATGGGACTGGAGGTTCGGGGACGTCGCTTGCCGGCTGATGCTGTTCATGCTGGCCATGAACCGCCAAGGCAGCATCATCTTCCTCACGGTGGTGGCCGTGGACAGGTACTTCCGGGTGGTTCACCCTCACCACGCTCTCAACAAGATCTCGAATCGGACGGCGGCCATCATCTCCTGCCTCTTGTGGGGTGTCACCATCGGGCTGACGGGTCACCTCCTGTACAAGAAGATGCTGATCAGGAACCGAGATGCCAATCTGTGCAGCAGCTTCAGCATCTGCCATACCTTCCGGTGGCACGATGCCATGTTCCTCCTGGAGTTCGTCCTGCCCCTGGCCATCATCCTGTTCTGCTCGGCCAGAATCATCTGGAGTCTGCGCCAGCGGCAGATGGACAGACACGCCAAGATCAAGAGGGCCATCAACTTCATCATGGTGGTGGCCGTCGTCTTCATCATCTGTTTCCTGCCCAGCGTGGCCGTGCGCATCCGCATCTTCTGGCTCTTGCACACCACAGGCACGAGGAACTGTGACATCTATCGCTCGGTGGACCTGGCGTTTTTCCTCACCCTGAGCTTCACCTACATGAACAGCATGCTGGACCCTTTGGTGTACTACTTCTCCAGCCCGTCTTTCCCCAACTTCTTCTCCACCCTGATCAACCGCTACCTGCGGAAAAAGGCGCCCCAAGAAGCAGATAATATCCAGAGCACAAGCATGGAGCTCACTGCAGATCTGAGCACCGCCAGGAGCATGCAGACAATTTAGTGGCCCACATCGGTGAGCCGTGGAACCCGTCTTATCTGCCCCCAGCTTCTCGCTAAATCACCGAGCCAAGAAGGGAGATTGTCACCAAGAACCAAGGTGTCTGGGGATAGAGTCTGGCTGGGTGCACAAAGACCATCGTGAGATGGGGCCCGTGGTTTCCTGGGACTTCCAGATTCCGAGAATCGGATTTAGAGAGGAGGTGTGGCAGAGTGGGCTGCCTGGTCGCGGAGTGTCCCCAGAGGACTCTTGGGGGAGGGGGGAACAGAGAGTAAAGCTCCTGTAACTTCTTCCCAACCTCTCTGACACTCACAGAACCGAAGACAGCAGAACTGTCCACACTTGTGCCGAGCAGAGCTGGAGCCAGGGAGACGCCCACGAGCACCTGTGATTCACTGGCCTTTCCCCCACCTGGCTGAGGTGGTTCTCAGCTCCCGGGGCAGATTTCCAGTCTGTTGGTGGGCTCTAGCTGGGATAAGGAAAGCTTAAGTGGTTGGAAGGGCATTATGGCCCCTCGGGGGAGGCCAGGAATCATTCAATAAGCCAGTAGGTCACCCACATTCCATGGGACCAACACATCTTTCGGCCAAGCTTTAGCAGAAAAGCAGTGGGTAGGGAGAGGCACAAGCTTTGGTTAATATTGGAGTTTCCGGTAGCGTAAGAGAGGGATTAGTCAGGGTGCACTGAGCGGAACAGTCTCACTTAGAGAAAGGGACGACATCTGGGCAGCAACTTGCGGCTAATCCGTTCCTCTCCTGTTGACACTAATTGGAAGTCTGAGCGGTTAGAGGCTTCAGAGAAGACTGCTGCTCCCCACTTCCGTTTGGTTTTATCATTAAAAGGGAAATGCTGCCCAGTGTCTAGAGGGAGACGGTTCCTCCTGGTTTGTTTGCTTGTGTTTCTGTCCTTATAAGAAATCTACCACTTCAATAAATTTTGATATAAGACACACAGTCTGGTGTTGCATGTGTCTGGGTGATGGGTCAGAGAAAGGGACTTCTTACTTAAGCGGAGACCTTTATGGGCTGTTAACTGTGTCCTGATAGAAAATACCAAACACTGTCGAGGAAGGAAAAGAGGCAGACGCTGAGCTGCATCAAGAGAGAGTTAAGTAAAAATTATACACGCGTTAGGACGAGGATGAGGAAGGGCTGGGAATAAGCATGAATAATTTAATTTGGAAGGGGGGCGCAAATGGAGCTTCAGGGGCCTGGTACATTCTATTTAGAGTCTGGTGAATATTGCTATGACTATTAGTGTATTAAAAAAGGAATCAGGACAGACCGGGGTGTTTGCATAGGACGGAGGGAGAAGAAAAAATTTCCTATGGAAGAGTTTCAGTTCCCAGTTCTGGGATGGAAAGGAGATGTACTGGTTTGAGCCTGCGATCAGTCCAAGTTTCTGTTACGCTTTCATCCCTAGCCTGTCACTCCTTGATTCTTTAGCAAGACGAGACTTGCTTTTCTATCCTGACTCAGACACAGATAAGAACGGTAGATACTCCAGACTCCAAGCCATAGCTCGAATGGCAGTAACTGAGGAACCACAGACAGACCTTCTCATGTTGAAGGGTTTTCAGAGCACTTCGCTTGTCTGGTTCTCCCATTGATTCCTAGAAGTAGGAAGTTAAAGCAGACATCACCTTCCTAAAGAGGAAGACACGGCAGAGGGGAGCTCCAAGGAAAGGCGTAGTTCCCCCAGCCTCAAATGCATGAGTCAGCAGGGAGCCCGGCTCTCAAGCTCTGTTGGGAACTAACTCACGTTGTTCATTTGCTCAGGAGGTCCATCAGCTTTTATTTATTTGTTTGTTTGTTTTTAAAGCAGGCTCTACGTCCAATGTGGGGCTTGCATCCTGACACTGAGATCAAGAGTTGCATGTTCTACTGACTGAATCAGGCAGGCGTCCTTCCATCAGCTTTTAGATATTAAGCACCAAAGATGTACCAGATAGAATAAGGCACAAGGGACCAAAGGCCCTCTTCTTATATAATTCATATTCAGGGGCGCCTGGGGGTGTTCAGTCACTGAAGTCAAATCATGCCTTTGGCCTAGGTCATGATCTCAGGGTCCTGGGATGGAGCCCTGCCTGGGGCTCCCTGCTCAGTGGAGAGTCTAATTCTCCCTCTCCCCCTCTGTGCTCATTCTCTCTCTCTCTCAAAAATAAGTAAAATCTTAAAACAAAACAAAACAAAAAACCTTGTTTTAAAATAATTAATTAATTAATTAATTTACTTTAATGGGAGCAAGTAATGTTATTCTGGACTAAACCAATGGTGTGGTACAAACATGTATGTGTCTGTCTATATATTGGAAGGGGCAGTTACTTATTTACTTACTTTTAAAGATTTTTATTTATTTATTTGACAGAGAGAGAGATCACAAGTAGACAGAGAGAGAGGGGGAAGCAGGCTCCCTGCTGAGCGGATAGCCCGAAGTGGGGCTCGACCCCAGGACCCTGAGATCATGATCTGAGCCAAAGGCAGAGGCTTAACCCACTGAGCCACCCAGGTGCCCCACAGTTATTTATTTTTAAGATTTTAATTTTTAAAGTAACCTCAATGCCTAATATGGGGCTCGAACTTACAACCTTGAGATCAAGAGTCACATGCTCTACCCACTGAACCAGCCAGGCACCCCTGGAAGGGGCAGTTATAATCACATATGCATTGTTTTTCCATTATTTTCTTTTTATTTTGGAGGGTACCAGTTTGGAAGTTATGAGTTCTGTGAGTTTATTACATAAAAAGTAGGGCCTCATTTTAACTGTCCCCAAACAATCTCTTCCAAACTTGAAGAGATTACCCCTAAGTCTAGAGCCATAAAATTGGGGCTTTAAACTCATGTTTGTTTCTGATTTGGTGAAGTCCCTTACCTTTCCAAATTTATTAGTCCATCTGACCCACAGTGCCTTGCCTGAAGAGAGGGCTCTAACTCACACCTAGGATTCTGGTCCTTAATCACATTGTGGTTTCATTTTCAACATATTTCCTGATTATGATCTGTCGCTCTGTTGGCCGTCCTTACAACAAGCGGCTATCTTGCCAGATGGTCCTGACCTCTTTCTTCCCCCACTTTGCTTCGATAATCAGAATTCTGCTGAGAAACTGGTTATCCGTGGTACCTTGGCCTGTGGTGGCATTTGGTGGGCTCACTAAGTACCAGAAATCGATCATTTACCATCCAAACTGGGCCATGGCTGATCTCCTACTCCCCCCATTTTTTGGTTTGAGTTGGGAACTTCTTCAAAGCAGAACTGGAGTTTTGATGAACTTCTTTGATGATTGAGGCTGGGCTATTGGTGTTACCAGCCAAGTTCCTGAGAAGGAAATTCCTTTCCTTTCCTCATTGTGGTAAGAAGATGCCTTCTTATAATTGTTTAACTCAGAGGTCTCATACATCTCATAAATGCAAGAATCTGAAACACACTTTCAATGAGCTTAAGCAAAAAATGGAAAATCAGAAGAGAGGAAACATTCTGGCGTATCTCCCAGAAACTGAGAGAGAATTACAGCAGGGTCAGGCGATGCCAGGGGACCAGCTCACAGCCCATCGGTCCAGCTCTTTGCCGTGAACCTGACTTAACCGCTCCACACCTGTGTCTTTCCAGACTGTCACATGAGAGAATCCAGTCCCAAACCACTCGCTACGGAAGAGTGATGAAGTCATGAAGAGACACACAACACGGGTGCAAAGGGTATTTTAAAATTACTGTTTGGGTAAAGACATGCTCTCTGCCAGGTGTTCCTCAGGGAACATTCCAGATCACTTTCCATGCCACTCATACACAGTATGTTTGGACTTCCAGTGGATCTCAATTCTCTTGCTGCCACCATGTTACAAGATGGCGGTCCCAAGAATGGAAAAGTAATCCGTTGACCTTTGGAAGCCACACAGTTCATGTGGCCCAAACCCATTTGGATGTGGACCTCCAGATATGAGTTCTAGAACCCTACAGAAGAGCTTCCCAGAAAATTAAAGTCTTTGTGATTTTATACATTGGTTTATAAACTGGGGACAAAGAAATACTCATCGGCAGGCCTAGTTGCAGGAAATAGCTGGCCATGAAGTTCTGTTCACTAAGTTTTGTGTTTTCTACAACAAATGAAACATAACTATTTTGCAACTGGTGTTGTTGCTATTCTCTTGGAGCTCAAATTTAAGATTTGGCCACCTTGTCTCTTTAGGGAGAAGGGGTTTGCCTGTGGCATTACAAACGTCAACCTTGACCTATAGTCCACAATCCCACGGCCCTGGCAAATGACAGGCAAGCACTTCTATGCTCTTAACAAATATTGATATACTCAGTGTTCCGGCCACACCCACAGAGGGATTTACAACCATCAACAGGTATTGGGAATAGGGCATGATGTTCCCTATACAATCGAAAAGAAGAAAAAATGAATTGACATACTGATGTCATCAGGTTGAAAAACTGGGTTTCTTTTTGACCTGTTTACAAAATATCCCTCCTCTTGATTATGATACTCTAGTAGGAAAATAGTACTGATGATCTGCTTTTTTTTTAATTAAAAAAAATTTTAAGTAATCTCTTACACCCATCATGTGGCTCAAACTCACAACCCTGAGATCAAGAGTCGCAAGCTCTCCTGACGGAGCCCTCCAGGCTCCCCTGCTTTTGTTTTTCATAAAGCAACATGAGGCAAAGACACACCCACAATAAGAGAGACACTGCTTTCGTCAGTATCATTATTTGTTTGTCACCAAGTGTATCTAAGATTTACTCACCTGTCAGACACTGAGCTACAAATTTCATGTAGGTGATCTCACTTCATTCTCCCAATAATTTCACAGGGGAGGTGCTACTTCCATTTTGCAGATAAAGGAACTGAGGCTCAGAGAGTTTGAATAGTTTGCCTGATGTCAACAGTCCATGAGTGAGGGACCAAGAGAACAGAGGCCAGCGGTCTGACTCCAGAGTCTTTGCCTTTAAAGTTCTGAAAAAAAAAATGCAAAACACGAGATGAACAATGTGAACTGGAAAAGGTGGGGTGAACACCTTGACACATTTGGGGTCAATATTCCCAGAACTTTCCAGGATGCCCAACAACTTAGGCACCCAGGCACCTCCCAGGTCCAGGCTGGGGTCATGTACTTAAGCTGCCTGGCATAGTGCCTCGCACATGGCGGGTGCTCTAGACATTAGTCTCCCTTCTCCAAAGTTAACTGGC